AAAACTGTATTTCAGAAAGTTGTGGTTAGCAGGAGTCTATCATTCTCTATGAGAAGAATTTAAATTGATAGGAAATTACTTGTATACCCAGAACAGGAGAGAAGAATACTAGAAATATTAGAGGGCTTTGGTTTGTATATCTATTTGCTTGCTTACAGCTCTCCACATCAAAATTATTTTTTCTGTGCACAGTTCATTTATGTGTAAACATCATAAAATAGCAAAAAGTCTTTTCATCTCTCTCTGTCTCATCCAAGCTTTTTTGAAAGACTCCACTTTCATATTTGACAAGATATGAAATGGGGCAAACTCTGCTTTCCTCCTGTCTTTCTCTCCTTTGAGATTATATGCAAACATTGAGAAAAGAGTTGGGGGTGTTTGTTTCAGCTAAATGTTAAATTACATAACAGGTTTTTTAGCAACTATGCTCTTGTACTGGTAAGATCTGAGATAACTGCCATTTGCAGAGTAACCATGGTGACCAGCATATGGCTTCTGATTCCATTAATCTTGTTGAGATTAACAGTAAATCCCAGAGGATCTTTTCACATGTATATTATTTGGTGACAGTCACTCTCAGTATGTATCTCTACCCAACAATAAAATAATAATAAGACAGTTATTCTAATGAGGTGATTAAAAACTCATACCCCAAATAAGAAATTTTATAAAATACAGCAAATGGCCAAAAAAAGTAAATACATATAAATACCACGTGAGAGAAAAATTTATTCACCAAACGTGTCATAGCCCTAATAAACATCTAGAGGAAGGGTCATTGACTCTCAGTTAAAAATGTCTTGTGTAAACTGGGCACAGTGGCTCATGCTTATAATCCCAGCACTTTGGGAAGGAGAGATGAGAAGATTGCCTGAACCAGGAGGTCAAGACCATCCTGGGCAACTTGGAGAGACCTTGTCTCTACAATAAATTTTTTTAAAAATTAGCAAGGTGTGGTGGCACACACCTGTAGTTCCGCTACTTGGAGGGCTGTGGTGGAAGGATCTCCTGAGCCCAGCAGGTCGAGACTGCGCTAGCCATTAAAAAAAAATGTACTTGTGTAGAAACTCAGTCTGGAGATATAAATTGAAGACAAAAAAATTTCCAATAATTATTTAGATTAAATAAATTAGAAAGAATTAGTTGAGCTGGATTTGAGAAGAGAAACAACTGACTACTCAAGAGATGTTTGCGCCTTAAAAAGTAGAATGTGGTCCTACCTAAAACCATATTTAGCCTACAGTGGCCCCAGAGTAAGTAGAAAATGTAGTAGTTACATTTTACAGGCAAAGATACTGACGTTAAAGAATTCAGAATGACCTCCCCATACCCACTTAGTACTAAAGTTTTCTCTCAAACTGACTGAATACATTGATATGAGTTAGAAGGCAGAGACTTGGGTTACTATCCCAACATTCTCTGACCCTAATTAATATTATGGTGTAAAAAAATATGCATGACAAGTTCTTTCTCCACTCTTGGGGCTTAAACTTTCTCTTCTAAGTTTTCCTGAGTTAAAGGGATAACTTGAGCTTTTATTTCAGCCTACATCTTTATACATAAAAGAAATATTAAGAGCACAATTGCATTTTACAGATTTTAAGACACACTTTTTTTTCATATTTTACCATCTATGACGTTGAGATATATCTTTTCATCAATGGCTTATTATGATCACCATGCAGCACTACCAAACATGAATTTTATACCTTGTGCATGAGCTAACTTGATCATAACAGCTAATATTTTCATTGTCTCAACTGAGTTTGTATTTGTTGATACATGGATAGAATGTTATAGTGTATGCAGAAAGGGTATAAATGTGATATAAATGATATGAATACTCAACTTGGAGTAATGATTATTATCTTATATTTTCTTGCAAAGCAGTAACCTAATGCTCTATAGGAGCTAAGAAGGGAAGATATGAGCAGATACAGTTTGTAATTTTTATTATTGAAATAGGCATGGCATGATTATCTGTCAAGTGCTAAGGAAAGCAACTAAAAATGTTCTAAATCCTTTAGAATACATGAAAGAAATTTCAAAGAAGCAGAAAGCTGAAGTGACTGACAAGTGTATCAAACAAGGCTATTGTTAAGGTATTATGACATAACTAAACTTGCTACATCTTTTTGTGCCTGGCCAATTTTTATCTTACAACTTAAGTCATCTTAGATTTTGTGTGTAGTAGTTCATGAATCAACCAGCATGGTTCTGATCCCCTCTTGCTGATTGTGAGACTATACCTAAAGCTTCCCTCCTTGCTCTGTTGATGGAGAACAACAGGAAGGCCAAAGTAGTCAAAACTGAAGCCAAACATCAAGCATTTGTGACCCTGATTTCAATCATAAAATTAATCAACTCTTATGGCAAATCAGTCTTTTGTTCACCTCAGCACAAATGCCCCAGATCACAATTTTTATTTCATTAAAAAGAAAACTGGTCTCCCTTGAATCTCTAAGTCTTCAAGATAATGATTCTTTGTAATCTTCTGGTAATTTTAGAAAGTCTTCATTTTACATTATTTCTTTGACAATTTAGAACATTTGAGGAGGTTATATTGAAATATTTCATATGTAAGAACAAATGAGGAGGGTGGTGGTCCTGATATAGTCATGGCCAAAAAGAAGCATGTTCTGTCCTGAACATATTTTATAAATTATAAGAGAACAGGGAAAACTGTATATGCACAAATGTATAATCTATTGCAGTAGCCTAAGACATTATGGATTATTATGTTGGCGAACTGAGATAATCAGACATATTTAATGGTAAAAGCAAGCATTCCACTAATTTGGTTAAAGGATACAAATTAGCTAGTGGATACTGAATTATGTACCTGACTGAACCCTCACAAAGCACACTCTGGGTTGAGTTTTTACAGTCAAGGGTGCAGTAGGATAAATTAGCCCCATTAGAGGCGTGCTCAATTTCCTCAATGAAGTTTTTGTTTATAGGAAGTCAGGAAGCTGTGTCCTCTACACCCTGGCCCCAATTCCTTCCTTACACAAATGTAAATCTCTCCTGTGAACCCCTTGTCACTAATCTCATTCTGGGTATCTGAATTCTAGCTGTGCTACCAGGATCAGAATTTTATTAACATAAGGAATCTCTACCTAGGACTTTTCAAAGTCCTTGGCTTACAAAACTGGTAGGAGCAGAGGGATAATTAAATATATATATATATAAGGAAATCTTATCAGATTTGAAAGAAACTTTGGACTCTCGTAAAAATATATTAGCATTTGAGATTTAAGGTATATCCAAACATGGTATTTTTTATACCTTAATTCATTAAATCACTATGAATTCATCATTTTTCATGTAATCCGCACATAAGATGAAGTGAGGAAAAAGTATAGAGTTTAGAATTTCTGTCTTTATTTCTCCAGCCCATGGATATATGCTGATTCTCACTGTTACTAAATATATTAACTGATACATAATATATTAACTTATGTATCAGAATTTAAAAGGTTATATTCCCCAGATTGTTGTGATAAAACATGCTGTGCCTCTGAGATGGCCAGGTGGAATCAAGAGTATATCTCACCAGATACTTTAATCTCACTTGAAAATGTGTATTTACTTGGTTCAGGGGAATACTCGGAAATAAAACCTTATCTACTTTTTAGCTCTTTCCTTTCTTCTCAAGAAGGAGAAGCAGTGATCATATCTCACTGAAAGCTCTCCTGCTGCAGTCTAAAGCTATTGCTTTTTATTCTCTTGTCAAGTAGAGAACAACTCGTCCCTATTTTCTATTCAATAATCCCGAAGGACTTGACAATTGTTAGTAAGACCATTCCCAAGCTTCCCTTTCTGACACTTTACAATTCTATTTTTCAAAATTTTAATCATTTGTTTAGGTGGTTTTTAACATTTTAATATCTTTCTCCTGACCATCCACTGGGCAATATGGCTTTCCCAGTTATCTTAGACTGTCATTCTCAAATAAAAGCTTGGCCAGTATAAAGGGAATATTAAAGAACATGGCTTCCTCTCAGCTTCCTCTGTGGATGACAAAAAATGCACCAGAACCTCACTTCTTAAACTTTTAATGAGTAGCATGGAAATGTATTTAAGAGCACAAGCTTGAAAGCCCCACTGCCCGAGTGTGATTCCCAGATCAGTTATTTTTCTAGCTGAGTCATCTTGGACAAATTATTAAACCTCTGTCTACCTCATTTTTCTCAACTGTAAAATGAGGATAATAACGTCCCCCTTAAGTATTAAATTAATGTAACATATATATAAAGGATTTAGAACAATACCTGCAAAAGTACACTATTACAACTATTATCTATATTTCAAAATCAAAATTTGGTTATTTGTGTCATGATCCATACCAGGGGTTTATTCTAAATTCTAACTATCATGTTTATACCCACTTAAAATACCAGCTTGTTGTGGTTGTAATTCTGATATTAATCAAACTGGCGTTTTTTTCCCTAGAGGTATAAGGCATGAATATATTGGTTTTCATAATTCCTTTTTTAAAAAATAATGGTTCCCCTAGATTTCCCAAGCCCCAATTGCCTTGGCTCTTTACATTGTTATTGTGATAAGAGAAAATGATGTTTTTTGTCCACTGGGCTGTAAATAGATTGAGCAACTGGAACTGAGAGGTTTCTCAGGACATGGGCCAGTTACTGCTAAAACTAGAGATATCTTGGGCAAACCAGAGTGGTTGACTACCTGACCTGTAAAGGTATTATATAAGGTGGGGGGTAAAAGAGGGAAAGGGAGCTAGTACTATTAATCTCATCAAATACAAAAGAATTCTTAGTACATCTCCACCGTTCCCTTGATTTTTGACTCATGTAATCTCTGATGAGTATCTGAAGGGTGAAATTGCACTGAACTAATTAACCGTAAATGTCAGGCATTTGGGCTTCATTTTTTGCTATTATCATCATCCGTGAGATGTATTTCCTCTCCTTCATTTTGTGCTCCTCTGATTTTCTCTGATCATTTTGTGCTTGTTCTTTTTCTTTTAGGTCGACTCAAGTCAAAACATACTCTTGGGATAATGCCCAGGTTATTCTGGTTGGGAACAAGTGTGACATGGAAGATGAGCGGGTCATCTCAACCGAGAGAGGTCAACGTTTAGGAGAACAGCTTGGTAAGAAACAAATTCAAAAACAGAAACAGAACTTGGTTGTTTTTTGTAAAATTGTACAGAGTCACAGCTGATTATCAGAGTTGGGTTAATGAAATGTTTGTCAACCTGAAAGTGGAAAGCAACACATCCTCCATAAGCAGTGCATTTCTTCCTACTTATTGTGGCATCATTAGAATGCAAACACAATTACAGAAGTTACTGTAGCAAAAACGATACCCAGAACTTTGGTTTTAGGACAAAGTATGCAAATTCTTATTCCATGAGAAACAGGTTATGCTTTACCCACTGTTTCTTTGATTTGTTTTCTCCATACACAAGATTTTGCATTGAGTGAGCCCTTTATTTTATTATGTGATTATTGCTATCCTTCAGTTTTCACTGGAGGAGGGTAACGGCACAGAATAGGTCACATTCTAGATTCTGGGTATAGGAATATCACTGGTCAGCCAAGTTACTATTACAAACCTCTTTGAGACTCAATCACCTCATCTCTCAAGATTGAACAGCATAATCTATGTCTACTTCACCAAGTCCTTATAAGAACAAATGAGATAATAGACATGAGAGAGCTTTAGAAATGGCAAAGCCATTTCAAGGACAAATCATTGTATCTAAAGAGAAAAATGATGGTGTCCATAGGGTAGAGATTTAGTGCAAAGGAGGGATTGATGATTGACTGAATTATTTGACATTTTTACTGAGCACCTACTGCATGCCTTCCATCATGCCAAATATCATGGAGGATACAAAAAAGTGTGAGCCACAGTCCCTGGGCTTAAGTTCCTCTCAATTAAGTGGAGACTAGAGATACACACAAAAAAGCAGAAAAACAAGACACAAAAAACAGACCCATGAGGAAGAGATGATCCAGAAGGCAAATGCCAAGAGGAAAGCAACCGGAGAAGGAGGCAGACACAGGGAGGGAGAAAACACTGCCAGAAGGAGATAGAGGAGTGGAATGTGATAGGAGACAGATGAAGAGCAATGTAGAAGAGCCCTCTGGAGAGGTAAGGCATGGAAATGAGGAGCACCACGAGGAAGAGTGAGTGATGAAAAGAGATGGAGATCGTATGGATGAAATGGCAAGACAGCTTGAATGGTCTCTAAAGGAGAGTTGACTTTGAAACTACAAAGGAGAGGAAGCATTACGAGTAAAGGGAGCAGTGGAGCATGGACACTGAAATAAGCATAAGTTGAGGATGGAGAATAGAAAAGTGAGAACCTGGCAGAAAGGTGCAGAAGTGAGTTGTGGGTTTGTGATGCAAATCCAGCCCTACAGGTAAAGGTGTTGGATTCCTTTGTGTGCTCATGTTTTTTCTATAGTCCAGTGAGAACACTAAGGGGATTCTTAACAGATAAGAGTCTGATTTTCCAACCTTTTTGGCCAGGACCTCCAGCCAAAAGCACATTCAATTCATCAACCCAATGCACACATATGTAGAGAGAAAGAAACAAAAGTTTCCCAAAACACATTTTAACTTTACTTGGTAAGATTCACTCTATTTTCTATCTTAATTTCTTTCTACTTTTTGTTTTACTAAATGATGGTCTCACCCCACTAAGTTGATCTTCAGGCCTAGTAATGTGTCTCAAGCTACAACTTGAAAATCAATGCTAAGAAGGGGGTGATTTGGGATTAATCTGCTGGTGGGGTGCAGCATGAGTTGGAAAAGCAAGACCCTCTCAGTGGGTCACTCTTTTTCTTGGTATTCTTTTTTTTTTCTTGAATTGGAGTCTCACTCCGTTGCCCAGACTGGAGTGCAGTGACACACTCCCAGCCACCGCAGCCTCAACCTGCTGGGCTCAGGCGATCCTTCCACCTCAGCCTTCCAAGTAGCTGGAACTACAGGTGCACACTACCACACCCGGCTATTTTTTTATTTATTGTAGAGACAAGATCTCACCAAGTTGCCCAGGTGGGTCTCACACCCGCGGGCTCAGGCAATCCACTCACCTTGGCCTCCCAAAGTGCTGGGATTACAGGCTGCGCTACCGAACCCAGTCCCCCAGATGTTCTTACAGCCACTTATGAAAAAGCTACACAACTGATATATGGTCTTGCTGTGCCTGTTCTTGAGTTTTTAATCTTCTCTGTCATAGGACCTCTCCCATTCTATGTTTTAAGAACTCAGCAATATTTTCTTAGTCCTCTTAGTGTCTCAGAAATATAGGAATGGAGAATAATAGACTCACAAAGAAAGAAAGAAAAGAAACCTGGGAAGGGGTTGGCAGGGTGACTTCTTGACACTGTCTCTTCCCCACCTCCTGTGTTTTCTTAACTAGCTAGGTTCGTGTCATGTGGGGGAAGAAATGCTACAAAGATGTAGGATGTCTCTACAAATAAAAGTGAAAATTGCTTGGTTCAAAGCAAAATACATTGCTTAGTTTCATTGGTACAAAAAAGGCAGGCTTAGTTTCATTGGTACAAAAGAGGTAGGTAACTGGCTAAATTTTTTTTACCACCCTAATAAATTACTTGGGTATTGAAAGACCAAGTTATGAAAGGGGGTGTTAGAATAATAAAATGCATCAAGAGGGTGACTTTCCTACAACTCCACTAACTGAACACACAGAAACCCTTTCTATTCAGCACACAGATGAGCAAAGTTCCTGAAATGGTGAGGCAGAATGTTTTATGTTTCTGCACAAGTTCTTCCAATGATTTCTAATTGATTTTTTGGTCTCTATTCGATAAAAACCCAGCTGTTGTCATAGCAACGAACACACGTGCATTCTTGGAGAGTCATTTACCTTCTCTAATGTGGTTTGTTCTCCTCATGACTACACACGCTCCTGCAAATGATCAAGATCATTTATATGAGAAAACACTTTCACAACCTAAATGTAAAGAATTTAAAGGTCTTTATTTTATTAAAAATTCCCGGGAAAATTCCATTCTCCAGAATACCATCACATACACACAAAGGTTAGGCATTGTTTTTTAAATTACGTTACCACAGTATGGCAGATGGCTCAGAAATAACTGCTTTATTGATCTGGTTACAATTAATTCTCCATTGTGGATTGTTATATCCGTACAACATTTTCTCATCCTAATGAGGGTACTTGATGGAACCAAGTTGTGTCTGAGCTCTTTAAAATTCTTGTGTGGCAGCTGCCCTTGCTAATTCAATTTAGTTCACCAAACACTTATTAAGTGTTTGCAGAATGCCAGGTACTGGGAATGCAATGACAAATAACCCTACCTTCTAGGAATAAACATAATGCTTGAGATAGACTACACAGACAATGAGCATTTTTCTGGCCTTCCCTTTCCCAGCCATTTTGTTTCATTGGATCCAGTTGAGCAGCTCTCTCCTTTCCAAACTCCGCCACCGTGGCCCCTATGATATGACGCTCTCGGTTCTCCTCCCTCGCCAGATATGTGTTCTGTTTTCTTGGCAGACACCTCCTCCACTTTCTGTCTCTTGAACTTTGACTTTCTATCCTTGGTCCACCACTCTTCTCTCTCTACACCCTCTATTGGATATTTCCATCCACTCTTAAGATTTCAAGTCTGCCTACAGACTAATGCCTAATCACATTCCAGCCCTGGACCTCAGGGTGGAGTTTCAGACACCTACGTTCACTTGCCAGCTGTGTGTATCCAGTACTTCTGATTTAGGGTGGTGGTCTAGTCATTTGCAGCTGAATTAGTTGAAATTCTTTTCCAAATGCATACTCATCAACCCAACTGAGACCTGCTGCATCAGAGTTTTTCAAGTTGAATCCTTGATCTATGTTTTTTAACAAAGACTTTCGTACCTTTAATGCAACAGTAAAATTTTAGAACACTGGCTTCCATGGGAGGGAGTTTGGAGAGGGTAGCGAATTGCTGCCTGGGCTGAACTTTAGGAAGTCTAGGAAGTAGAACTTTATCTGGTAGCTGGTATTATTTTCCCATGCTGTTTTTAACATTTGGTCTGTATGTATATACCTATAACAATATATAAGAATGTTTTGTGTATTTTTATTTTATATTAAATTTATGATATAATTACATATATATGTAAAATCTTATAATTTACATTTAAATGTAAAACAAATGTTAAATGAGAAAAGATTGGGAGATAGAATTAAAAATATAAGTTTTCACCAAATAGAAATAATTTTTTTTTCTTTTTGAGTTGGAGTCTCACTCTGTCACCCAGAGTGGAGTGCAGTGGCCGCTCCCGGCTACCACAGCCTTGACCAGCTGGGCTCCGGTGATCCTTCCATCTCAGCCTTCCAAGTAGCTGGAACTACAGGTGCACGCTACCATGCCCCGCTAATTTTTGATTTATTGTAGAGATGAGGTCTTGCCAAGTTGCCCAGGTGGGTCTTGAACCCATGGGCTCAGGCAATCAACTCACATCAGCCTCCCAAAGTGTGGGATTACGGGCTAGGCCACCAAGCCCTGCTAAAATAGAGATAATTTATCTGGGAATAAAAAGACAAGAAATTTATGGAGGGAAATGGATTAATCTTACTTTGAAATCACAGATGGAGGACTACTTGAACAATTTTTATGGGCTCTGAAAGAACAGAAAGTACAAAAATTTCTTGGTTTTTAAAAAATGTAGTCAGAGAAACAAAGACTACAAAATAATTGTTTCTAGAAAGAAGCAATTATTTATAATTTGTAAAGATCCAGTTTTTGAGTGTTTTTGATTTTCATGAATATTTCTTCCTAAAGCAATAACAGATAATATTCCCAATTACTCTTCAAACAATTGTTATAATATCTTATGGACATGTGTATTACTAAATTCCAGATCCCCCTGCATCCTTCCTCCTTGTCTGGCACAGAAAGCCCATGAGAATTTCTGACAACCATAGAATATTCTTATACTTTGCCATCTGTCTAAACTGTACAGTTTTTTTCCTTTCTTTTCCCACTGACCTTTTTGTTTTGATTATTTATCTGACAAATATATATTAAACACCAATAATATCAGGATTCATAAAATGTGTATTTTCCCTCTTGTTCGGCTTAAAGTTAGATTTATATATCAGAAAAA